CACACACACACACACACACACACACACACACACACACACACACACACACACACACACACACACATTTCGTAGTATCATAAATGTGTTTGCCAAAGATCTTATTTTCTACAATATTTCTAACACCAATGGAAAAACACCATTACTTTTTGTCGAGAGAACCCCTTGCAATGCTAACTTTAGGACAACCCACAAAAAAAGACCCTGCACCACTATTGTCGCCTGTTTGTTCTTCCTGCCAACGCCAACACACACACACACACACACACACACACACACACACACACACACACACACACACACACACACACACACACACACACACACACACACACACACACACACACACACACACACACACACACACACACGTTGGAGTTGGCCTTTGATGTGAGGGTTTGAGATAAGCCTGGGATGTTAATCTATATGTTGATTAAGACACTCTCTGTGAGGTGAGAAGCGAGGGGATGGAGTTAGTTTTTTTAAAAGAAACCTTACACTTTTAGTTGTGCTCTCTAAATTAGATGTATGTTTTTTTTTTTTATTATTAGTGTTAATTAAGGGCTATTGTTATTTTGGTTTATAAGGGGATAGGAGTTCAACTTTTTAAAAATTGCACAGGATCATTCTAAGAAGAGTGAGAGGGCTAATGAACCAGCACCATACCTCCTCTATGCATTTTCTTGACCTGTATCTGATCTTGAAAAACTCTGGAAAGTACTTTTTTATTTTATTTTATAATATCATGTAATTATTAAATGTTGTTTTTTTTTTTTTGGTAGGGGTTAAACTAGTATATTATGTGGATAGTATATTATTAGATACTTAAAAATGTTATGTTTTTTTCTGTCAGACCCTGTGTGCTGAAATCTACTCAAACAGAGTACTTCATGGTAGTGGTCAGCTTTTAAACACAAAATTGTATCTTTCAGTAACTTTCTCAGAGAATTTAAGCATAAATCTGTCAAATGTTCAAAACAGCCTTGTTTCACTGAAATAGCCTCAAAATCACAAACTGCCATTAAGAGTCAGATGCTTAACGAAATCTACTAACACAAAGTACTTCATTATCTACTTTTCAGCTTTTATACACAAAAGTGTATCTTTCAGTAACTTTCTCAGAGAATTTAAGCATAAATCTGTCAAATGTTTCAAAATAGCCTTGTTACACTAAAATAGCCTCAAAATCACAAACTGCCATTTAGAGTAAGATTCTTAACGAAATCTACGGACACAAAGTCTACTTCATTATCTACTTTTCAGCTTTTAAATACAAAAGTAACTATTAGTAGAGAATAACGAGTAATGAATATACTTTATAGGGATCCTATTAATATCTATTAATAAAAATAATGAAATTCAATAACATGCTTTAACCACTAGGTGTCCCTTTATATCAGCTGTGCACCTTTATGGTGTAAATACAGCCTATCTACCAATTGGATCAAATATAAAAGTCAGCCGAATTAGTGTTGATACTGCAAGGAGACGTATTGTGTGAAAAGAAATGTAAGATGTTGTTTAATGGCTGATATATTTATGATCCACGTCACGTTTTCAGTTCCTCATGTTTGTCTAGAAGTCTTCTCATCAGGGCTCTATAAATACAGAACTACGGCAGATATGTAATATTTAATGCAGCCGAACCGTGTATTACAATGCCGTTATGTGATGACTTTTATCTTTCTTACAGTGCAGACGCTTTTCTGCTTGCTCTTGCCTCTGCTTACTTTTTATGCTGATTTTCCTATTCTTATTCTCTGAAAACTTCGAGCAGCGGCTCCTGGACATTAACTTATCACTGGGACAGTTCATCTTCGTAAATAGACGGAGGGTTTCAGCCATATTTCAACATTTTTACGACGACGTCAGTCTTACAGTAGCGTGGCCTAGCAACAGCTAAAGCCTGGTAGGCTACTGCATGCTATTTAGCTAGTTGGTAGCAAAATGCCTCCGTTCTCTACAGATGACTTCCAGAAACTTATACAGAAGATGGCTGTGTTGGAAATGAAAATGCAACGGTTGGAAGTTAACGTGGAAGTGAATGGACTATGTCGTGGGAATGACACCACTTTACCAGTGTTGCAAAATAATGGAGAAGGGTATGCTAACTCACAGCTAGTTAGCAGCTACAAGGATTCCAAGGAACAGGAAGGCTGTGTACCGGGTAATAAATCTACAAGTGGTAGTCCTCCCTGGAACTCTCTGGGTGCAAAGCCTAAGAGTAAACCATTTCCATGGGATTTGGGAGGACGGATAACAGGCAGAGCCCAGAGCTCCGAAATCTGTGATGCGACCGGCTGGCCTGCATTGTTATCACCCAGGAAAAGCGCCTCTTCAACCCCTATTCATACTAGGAAACAGCCGTGGACAGCTGCTAAAGGGAGAATTACAAACAATCCTCCTAAACCACCAAGTGTGCCAATCCAGAACAGATACGCTCCGCTGACCGAGAACCGGAGATCTGATGACCTGGATAACCTGTCCTCTTCACACAGCAGGGTAAGGACCAATAGCTACTCCAAAAGCAAAAGGCTAGAGGGAAAGCTAACAACTGGGCCTGAAACTCTGATTGTGGGTGACTCTGCTGTAAGAGATGTAAAAGGTCTGTGTAATAAGAACAACACCAAAGTACTCTGTTTTCCCAAGGATGTGGTCTCTGACTTGGCTGAGAAGATCCTGCATATTGGGGCTGAACATCCGACTGTGAAGAATGTGGTACTGCACATTGGAACAAATTATGTTGTGAAACAACAGTCAGAAGTGCTGAAAGAAGACTTTAAATGTTTGTTGGAAACTGCCAGCTCTCTAAATGCAGAGGTGTTCATCAGTGGCCCTCTACCGCCAGTCAGAAGAGGAGTGGAGAGATTCAGCAGATTGTTTGCACTGAACACCTGGCTTTCAACTGCCTGTACTGACCATTCTGTTCATTTTATTGACAATTTTAACTTTTTATGGGATCGCAGACATCTTTTCAAGGCAAATGGAGTTTGCCTGAACAAGTCAGGAGTGACATTGTTTATCTCTAACATATTCAACTGCAAGGATCCTGGAGGGGGCCTGGGAGTACGCTTATCCGGTCTACATGTGTTTTGTAGACTTGGAGAAGGCGTATGACCGAGTTCCCAGGGAGTTACTGTGGGAGGTGCTGCGGGAGTATGGGGTGAGGGGGTCTCTACTCAGGGCCATCCAATCTCTGTACTCCCAAAGCGAGAGCTGTGTCCGGGTCCTCGGCAGTAAGTCGGACCCATTTCCGGTGAGGGTTGGCCTCCGGTGAGGGTTGGCCTCCGCCAGGGCTGCGCTTTGTCACCAATCCTGTTTGTAATATACATGGATCGGATTTCGAGGCGTAGTCGTGGGGGAGGGGGTCTGCAGTTCGGTGGACTAAGGATTGCACCACTGCTTTTTGCAGATGATGTGGTTCTAATGGCTTCATCGGTCTGCGACCTTCAGCACTCACTGGATCGGTTCGCAACCGAGTGTGAAGCGGCTGGGATGAGGATCAGCACCTCCAAATCTGAGGCCATGGTTCTCAGCAGGAAACCGATGGACTGTCCACTCCAAGTAGGGAATGAGTCCTTACCCCAAGTGAAGGAGTTCAAGTATCTCGGGGTCTTGTTCTCGAGTGAGGGAACAATGGAGCGTGAGATGGGCCGGAGAATCGGAGCAGCGGGAGCGGTACTGCAGTCGCTTTACCGCACCGTTGTGACGAAAAGGGAGCTGAGCCAGAAGGCAAAGCTCTCGGTCTTCCGGGCCATTTTCGTTCCTACCCTCACCTATGGTCATGAAGGATGGGTCATGACCGAAAGAACGAGATTGCGGATACAAGCGGCCGAGATGGGTTTTCTCCGCAGGGTGGCTGGTGTCTCCCTTAGGGATAAGGTGAGAAGTTCGGTCATCAGGGAGGGACTCAGAGTTGAGCCGCTCCTCCTTCGCGTCGAAAGGAGCCAGTTGAGGTGGTTCGGGGCACCTAGTTAGGATGCCACCTGGGCGCCTCCCTAGGGAGGTGTTCCAGGCACGTCCAGCTGGGAAGAGACCAAGGGGTAGACCTAGGACCAGGTGGAGGGATTATATCTCTTCGCTGGCCTGGGAGCGCCTTGGGAGCGCCTTGGGATCCCCCAGTCAGAGCTGGTTGATGTCGCCAGGGAAAAGAAAGTTTGGGGCTCTCTGCTGGAACTGCTACCCCTGCGACCCGACCACGGATAAGCGGGAGAAGATGGATGGATGGATGGATAACTGTCTAATATGGCTATCTTTTTAGCTAACTTACCAATGTGGCTAACATCTGCAATATACATTTTGTCAATAATTATTTATATTACTACATATTACATGTAATAAAATATTAAAAAAATTATATTTAATAAAATAAAAAAGTTGTTCGAGATGATGCTTAATTTGATTTAATACGAATTATTGTCATTTATTTTGTTTATTGTTCTCATTGTTTAAAAGTGTGTTATGGTTATAGTTCTGGTGTGAAATAAAGCACAATAATTACATTTAAGACTGTTTCCCTTTTTTTTAGAAAAGTATCGAAAAAGAATCGGAATCGCAATTCTTGACTTGGTATCGAATTTGAATATTACAAATAGGCCAGGTTCAACATTTATTAAGGTTTCCTTTTGTTGACATTTTAAAGTCAGAAGACATTTTATAAACTAATTTGTATAACTCCATAAATCAGAGAAACAGCCATTGATTAGTTAAGACAAGTATTTCTCATATCACACGTTTTCTGAAATGTAATGTCTTAATATGCAATCAGAGCATTATCTAGAGCAAATCGAAAATGAATTAAGGAGAAATCTACAGACAAAGTAAGTTATAGAAACATTTCTGTGATGGATGTTTTCTTTACACTAATCTGAAAGAAGACATGTTATTGAAGCGTATCTCCGAACTGCCAGTGCATTTACTGTTGCTATACTTATTGCTTGCTTTACATTATCATTTTTCAGTATTTTCAGTAACCTTACGTTCTCATCTCTCCTCCGTCAGGTGTGGCGTAGCCCTGGACGCCTGGATGTTCCCTCTGGACGATGAGATCTTTCCCCGGGTGAAGCAGCCCATCTTCTTCATCAACTCAGAGAAGTTCCAGTGGGCGGGAAACATCAGCCGAATGAAGAAGCTGGATTCAGCCGTCATTCAGAGGAAAATGATCACCATCAGGTACAACCAACAGAAACTCAGGGTGATCTGTAAAAATATCAGTTAGATTAATCATTTTGGGGGAGAAAGAACGAATACACGTGTGATGTTGTACTACACAGATGCATGACAAACAGGTTAGAGACATGAGAGGATGTTTTACCTTATGACATCATTTCTGAACGTTTGCCCGGAAGTTCCACAATTTTTCCAACGCTTAGCTAAAGCATTGACAAAGCACATTATGTGTGCTACACGGGCCATATGCTCGTATGTTAAAGATTCAAGGCTTTATTGTCATATGAACAGTAGCTACAGTGTAGATATGACAATGAAAAACTGAAGTCCCAGGCTCCTCCAACAATGTAACATGAATAATATAGCACATAAAACAAATAAAACCAATACAATTGTGAAATAAATAACAGAAAAGAAATAAAATAGTGCAAGAGAATGTTGAAAGATGTGCAAGTAAATACAAATACAATTGAAATAGTGCAAGAAGTCTTTATACTGTACACGTAAATGGAATATGATATATAAATATATGGCAAGATGCAACAGATGAATGTTTATGGAGGCACTTTACAGAGTTCAGGTGATTAATAGTGTTATTGCCTGTGGAATTAAACTGTCTCTGAGTCTGGTGGCTGTTGTCCTGATGCTGCGGTAGTAACCTTGCTGACACTATCATACTGCGAGCCGAGCCCTATCTGTCCACTATGTCCCACTCCTGTATATCTTCAAGAAACTGGAGGATGGTTTGTCAAAAGGCCTTTCTTCCGTTTTCACCACAACTAAAGCGAACAAGTGCAGGTGTGCTGTTACAGCGTGGTAGTGATGATTCACACTGATGTCCAGTGGTCTCCAGTCGGTGTATCACATGTAGCGTGTGCCAGTCCGCTTCCATGAATTCTTTGCGATTCATGGTAAAAATCCATCAGAATCAAGTTTATTGCCAGGTACGTTTACACATACAAGGAATTTGCTTTGGTATCCGGTGGTGCGAACATGAGCAATCTCAAAAAAAATTGTAAAGTAGGTGGAAATAAGGATAATACAAAATAAGTATGTTTAAGAAACAATTTAGCATTAAAAAAGGACGCCAAAGACAAGTAAGCATGCTGGTATTAATGGAGGAAATTGGGGTCAAACTCTGTTCTGTTATGTTTTTTTAATGCATTAACAGCCCTTGTAAAAGTGTGTGGTTTCCTTACCCGATGTGGTCCCTCTGCAGGGGCACGGTCCACCAGAGTTTCCCGGACTTCACCTTCCTGACGGGGAACTGGATCGGTAAGCTGATGAAGCTGAAGGGAGAGATCGACTCGCAGATCGCCATGGACCTGTGTAACCAAGCAACACTAGCCTTCCTGCAGCGCCATCTAGGTACGGACACGCACAACCCCATCTAGTGTCTCAGGTGTATCAATTGTTAAAGCCCCTTTTCGAACTCTGGATTTTGCAGGTCTACATAAGAACTTCGATCAGTGGGACGCTCTGATCGACGGGCAAGATCCAAACCTCATTCAAGGAACTAACGTTACCGTGCTTCAGTCTGCCATCTGATCACCCCTGAACCTTGGTAGTCAGCTGATCAGTCCAAAACGATTTCAAGCCAGGTCTACTAAGCTTTCCAAACGGACAGAGAATCAACATTTTGGAGAAGGAATCAATAGCAAGGATATTCTCTACCTCATCAGCAAGAGTGGGTTTGTTTTCCTCCATGGATAAAACACTCACTCAGCGTACCAGCGTTTGTTCCCTGAGGTCTGAATGTTGCTGAACACTTCTTCTTTTCACTGTGACATCTTCACCATTAGCAGCCATTTCTGTAGATATAGGCTTTCCATAATTTTAGAGTGTATACAAATTGAGATGTCATTTTAAATGATGTCTCTTTGGATGTGACCTTCCAAAAGAGACCAGCTACTCTTTGATTGCAGTGTGATTACGGAAAAACGTCTACAATGAGGTAGCCAACCAATAGGTATTGTTAACAAGATTGAAGACTTGTATGATTTTAGATAAATTATTAACCTATCATGATATCAAACTAAATGTGTCCTTCCTGATTCAACAGGAGCAGCTACACAGTATGTAAATAGAGATCATTAAAAGCTTTAACACTAATAGGCTGCATTGAGATACCATGTGCCTGAACTCGCAGTACTGTAATTCCTGGGTCTCAGCCTTTCACTTTTATACATTAAATGTCATGTAACACAAATCCAATAAATCTGCTTTGTATACAAATCCAGCTTTTGCCAATTCATTTACCCTTTATGCCTCATTTTATTTTACCTCACACCCAAATATTTATTACATGCCCTAGTTATTAAATGAAAATCGAATTGGTGGTATACTAAATGCCAGGGGGGAATTGAAAGTCAATTAATAGCAACATTAATTTTGATGCATGTAAAAAAGAAATTCTGCAGTGTCATTTCTAACAAATATAAACCCAGACAAAAATTCCCAAAGATGCCATTTCAATCTTATAGATTATTTTCCAAGTTAAAAAAGTTATTTATTTTCTTTACATTTTTTTGTTAACACAATGCCTTTTTTTTATTCTTTTTTTTATGGAAAATACTTTCTGGGAGAACCATTTTTCTGTATATTGAAGGTGTGGCTAGCTAGGTGTAAAAACAATTTTGATGCATTTACATTGTTGTGCCAGACCCCAGGGAAACGGCTCTCATTTGTCCCAGCACGACAAAACGACCAATCAAAGTGATGTTCTGAAGTCCAAATGGAGATGCGTATTAGTAAACATAATCCATGGACAAGTTTAGGTGCCCTTTTTTCCTAGACTAGCCTAATCTTACAATGTAACTGCTGAGAGAAACGGGGTAAAGCTGAATGAGAATCGTTAGAGCAGTGTTAGTGTTGGAGCTGGAAACCTGCAGCTTATTGAAAATCTCTTCAGTTAGGAGACATTTTCACAAACCCCATCAATTTCGTCCTAACCCACCAAATTTTAAATAGAAAACCAGAGGAAAACCGATGTGATACCGGCACTTGTTTTCAATGAAACAAAAGCAAACTAAACACAAGCCCTTGCACTAGTTAGCCTAAATCAGTCCCTTTGTCTAGCACAGGGGTCGGCAACCCCTGGCACGTGTGCCACCATTGGCACGCGGCACCGCAACCATGTGGCACACTCCTAATAATTGTGCAAACTATTTACATTTGATTTTCGGATCCTGAACGAGACCGCCGCCAGAGCGCGTCTCCCCGTTACCTGCAGAAGGAAGCCATGCACGCAACGCAGCCCGCTCTCTTTAACTCCAGGCGACTTTCTGCCGCTTCCCTCCGTGGTGCAGTGCGGATCGTTTCACCACAGAGGAAAGCACTTCACAAATTGCAGTACCCATAAGGAGCTGTACAAATGCCGCAGTTTTTGCGTGGCTGTGTCAGTCTTTAATTGAACGCCCAGTGGGGATCTGCTAAACTCTCATCAAAATAATATGCTACAAAGGAGCGGACTGGCCATCTGTGTGTTCTGGAGAATCACAGAACGGACGATCGTCCTTATTATTATGCCGTTTATAAACCAATTATTTACATTTTATTGTTAAATTCGGCATCATGTAAGTTGCGCTGACAGGTCCACACACTGCTTCCCCGCAGCAAGGCTCCCCCCGCCCTCCTGTTGACAGTTCACGAGCGTCGAGCTCCCAACTCCTCCCCCCCCCCCCCCCGTTGTTAATTCACGATCGTCGGCACGCTGATACATTTTTTTTTTTTTTTTTTTTTTAAATGGCACTTCATATCAAAAACCTGATCTCACCAGAATGCGTGACTCTACCACGACTCCTTAACACCACATTGCGTGGTGGAGTCACGAACTTTGCTACATTTATATGTCTGCACCACGCAAACAACGCCAATTTAAAGTGAATGAGGCTCTTTTGTCGTGGTGCACACACGCATTTCTACAACATCCAGCAGTGAGCTTTTATTCTATAAAACGTTTTTAAAATCTACTTTATAGCTTGTAGTAACTCACGGGAGGCTTCTTTATTTTATTTGTATTCACAATTTGTATTTTTCGTCAGAATGTATTATGGTGCATTAGTTACACATTTTTGTTCTCAAAAACAGTGCATTGTGTGTAATACAACTGTGATTTTTATTAAATTAGTTAGTTTTTAAGGAAGGCCAGAGCTTCAGCTGTGTCAAATAGATTGTTCCCTTTAGTTAACGTTTTTTAAAAGAACATTATATTCCGATTTGATCATGTCCCCTTTATTGTATTACGGAGAGCAATGTGAGCGTCCATTCCCATTGGATAACGCAGGATTTTACACCCGGAAGTAAGTATTCTCTTTACTGTCGATTGATTTTACAGTGATATCTGCACTACTCATCAACTCAAAAACACCAGATTATCCTTGTTGATTACACAACATTGATTGGTTTTAATTGTGTACAATGCTTTTGTAATTTTCCACTTCGATTCGGAGAAACAAATATTTGTTCAGTTTAGGATGGCCGAAGACACTAAACTACCCAGAATCCTCAGCTATTGTTCCGCTTTGCCTCAAGTTCTGTGATTGGTTGACCTCCAACTGCATTCTATATGAGAAAAAAAGGTTCGTAAAAGATAAAATCATACTTTATTCAGCAGTGCTTGCTTTACTCTTTGAAAGTCATCACATGAATGCATTGTAATAAATGGTTCGGCTGCATTAAATATTACACATCTGTCGATGTTCTTTATCTATCTACAGAGATCTGGGCTGAAGTCGAATAGTCCATTTAGCTTCGGAACCTTCCTAACCAAGTGAAATGACCCGGAAGTCCCTCAGTGACAGCCATGATAAGTGCTGTTCGAATTCTCTAGAACAGGGGTGGGGAACCTCCGGCCCCCGGGCCGTATACGGCCCGCAAGACCATTTGGTATGGCCCTCGAGGTAATAAAAAAAAAAATTAAAGAAATCTAGACCACAAAATAATTAAACATGCGAGTGCCTGTTTTTCCTGGCAACGGTCATGGTCCTTGAACACAACACGAGCCTAACGTATCATCACGTGTTATATGTCTCGTATGACAGGGGTGTAATTCTGCCGGAGAGCACGAGAACGCGGCTCCGGTGTAGGTACCAGATGTGTTCGGGGTACCAGATGTGTTCGGGGCTGCAGTCGAATAGTCCATTTAGCTCATGGATGTATAATAAGAACTGGATACAGCGTGGGAGGCGGGGCCTCATTCATTCCTATGAGAGTTGCTCAATGGCGCTTGAGGACAAAATGGCCCAACTTTTGAGAGAGCGAAACGTCGCAGATTACCCGGCATGCCTGAGAAGTACCCGTATGTGCACTCATAGAGCATGTTCAACTTTAACCACGCCGCCCAAAAGGCTCGTTCACATTAAGCACGTGAATTTGCGTACACGTAACAGCACCGCGCGTTCATGACAGCATGGTACTGGATTTATATTAACGAGGCGGCAGTTAGCAGCTAGCGGCTAGCTAGTAAATTATGCTAAGTTACACATCAATCGTTATGTACTTTTATATTACGCTGACATCAGGATCTAGTGATATCCAAGCAACAGAGCTTCATTTAGCATGATACTTGTGTGGGTTGTACATGAAACCACTTGGTAATATATACAAATGTATATGTTGAAGCCTGTTATGATCAATTGTGAGTTAAAACTTTATCTAAAAAGTAAAGCTGATGATGGATTACTGTGGTGGAGTTAAAATAACAATAGCCTATTTCTTTTTGAAATGTGATGGAGTAAAAGAATAGTAGTAGTTATAATGATACCGCTTTCGTCTCATTAGTATGCATGAAAAAGTGACGGGTGACACGCCCCCAATTATGCAAATGAGCTAAGTCCCGCCTCCCATTGTTCGAGATCCTTTGATGTGAGGGGTGAGGTGTTATAACAGGTAGGTGTGAAAAGCCCCCCTGTGTAGTGCCTTTGTTGTCTAATTATTTGATGTGTTGATTAAGGCAGTCTCTTTGAAGTTATGCTGTCTGGCCCCTGTCCCCTCACACCCCTTTGTAGTCTAATCCTTTGATGTGAGGTGTTATAGCAGGTAGGTGTGATATAAGCCTCTGATGTTAATCTAGGTGTTGATTAAGGCAGTCTCTTTGAAGTTATGCTGTCTGGCCCCTGTCCCCTCAGAGTTGTCTAATATAATTAGCCTTTGATGTTTGCCCTTTGATGTGAGGTGTTATAACAGGCAGGTGTGATTTCACACTGGTGTGTTATAAGCCTTTGATGTTAATCTAGGTGTCTCTTTGAAGTTATGCGTGAGACTGTCTAGCCCCCCCGCCCCCTCCCAGCCCAGGCCTCTCCCCCTTTTCTCCACCCCTTCCTTTGGCTATGACGCAAGCAAATAGTGGGGGGTGGAATCAGGTGAAAATAGAAATACGATCAAACTAAATAAAAAGACAGTAATTTCCACTTACCAAGTCACCTTTTAAAAAAGAAAAATTGCCAAGAGACGCCTCGATATGGGTTTTAATCAGCGAGAGGCCTGTGACAACTTACCGCCATCCGTCCGGAGCGCCAGTCAAGAAACGAATGCAGCATCTGTGCGGGGGTCAGACGCCTACAGCCGAAAGATCTGTGCACAAACTTATCTCGTGCCCTCTTTTGTTCATGTGTGTTGGAGGAGGGGCTCTGTGAGGAAGTGGCAGATTTTCACCCGGTTGTGTACTTTTCAAATTCTAGCTCACTCGAGCAGGTTTCTCCAAAATGACCTACCCCTACCTTTAAGAACAATTAACACACACACACACACACACACACACACACACACAACACACACACACACACACACACACACACACACACACACACACACACACACACACACACACACACACACACACACACACACACACACACACACACACACACACACATTTCGTAGTATCATAAATGTGTTTGCCAAAGATCTTATTTTCTACAATATTTCTAACACCAATGGAAAAACACCATTACTTTTTGTCGAGAGAACCCCTTGCAATGCTAACTTTAGGACAACCCACAAAAAAAGACCCTGCACCACTATTGTCGCCTGTTTGTTCTTCCTGCCAACGCCAACAACACACACACACACACACACACACACACACACACACACACACACACACACACACACACACACACACACACACACACACACACACACACACACACACACACACACACACACACACACACACACACACACACACACACACACACACACACACACACACACACACACACACACACACACAC